TTTTACTAACTCTGTCTTACCATTCCATTCTCCATTCCCTTTTCTCACGCTCCTCTCTTGTTCGTTCACCTCCATTACAATTTACAAACGTTCCAACTCTACAGTTACAACCCTTTCTTCTCCCGTCAGAAAGATTAGCACAGTAGCACCCCATCTAATGCCCCACCCATTTTATCCTCTCTAATTATGATTTATTTATCTTTTTGTTTCTCACTTTCACAACTTGTTGATTGTCGATTTAGATACTTGCAGCTGGGCAGGTCTTCCATCAAGACGTAAATTTCACAAATTTAGAAAATTAAACTTAGCTCTACCATCGGTTACACTTCTCCCTATCAATTTTTTACTTTTCTATGTTGCTTTGATTTTGTTGCATGCATCATGATATATGATTGTATTTTTCGGACTCTTTCTCATATATAGATCAACGATTTGGAGAGCATTTTCGAATAGATCTTGATTCAACAAAAATAGAGCAGCGATGATTTATGTAACATTAATCTATATATATGCATTTTTTATTGAGTTATGCATAAAAAAATAAAGGATTTAGAAAAGAAAATATTTTTGTCTGTATGAAATCAAGAAAGGTGTGTGTGCATTTATGGAACTTCTTTTTTTAAAAAAAAATTGTTAATTTCATGTAAATATTTTTTATTTTATTTCTGTTGTTAGGAATCCACTTAGTGGGCAAAACGTTGATATTTGCAACGAAGCTGCTGGAAGATGATTGTACAACAACTGATTATAATATTCATAAAAGGTAAGTTGTAAGCGTATCTGGAGGCTTTCCTTTTGAATATCTTTTGATAGTTTAACTTGATACTTGCACTAATTGATATTTTCTGTATGCCCAAACTATGGCCAAATTACCAGATTGGTAAAAAAAATAGGGTGTCTTCCCAAATTGGTAAAACAAAACCTCCCGAGACAAATTGGTAAAAAACGAGCATTTCAACAAAAATATCTTAATATACTTGGCTTTTTGGCTAGTTAAGTACCGGTTAGCCATGGTACTCAACGATCTCTCTCGTCTCTGTATCTACATTATTCTTCATTCACCTTTCGACTTATTCATACTAACTTTGTTCATCAAATCCATCACAATTTCTTAATTTGCAGAGTGAAGCAAGCATGAAGGTTCACCCAATGCTCAAGAAGAGAAACATCACCGCTTGGTACGACATCGCATCGACAAGCCATGAAGGTCCTAGATCTTCCTTCCCATTCCGATGCAGATATATCAATTGAAGAGACCCACGACTTCTTCCGCTTCATTGTTCCGATAGAAGACGTCACTGGCTGGGGTAATATTAGGGCCCATGGCATCCAGACCCAATTTCACATTCACCAAAATTTGATACACTGGTCACAATTAAATCCGAGTTGAGTTCGTTTTCTGATGCCTTTGATGGAGTCTCATCGTCGCTGGCGAAAATTGGTTGCTTTTAGTGATCCCCAAACCTAAGGAAGAAAAAAAAATACGAGTGGGGATGAAGATGGTTATCATCAACCCTAAGATATTTACTAATAAATTGAGGGAGGGTTGGAGTTTCTTTTGGATTTGAGCTCCTTCTCCTTGAAGTCCAAAAGTAACGGAAAACATGGGGAAAAGAAGTTTATACCATTTGGAGTGGTTAGGAGTTAAAAAACCTAAATATGTATTATGTCGATATGAAAACATGTATAGACTCCGTCAATAATGTTTTTCCCCGCATTTCAGCACCGTCAATAAATTACACTTTACAGTTTTTTTGCATATAAGTTTAATAAATCATTAATTAAATTATTATAAGTAATATTTTTCTTTGATTTTGTTTCTGAAGAGTTATGAAATTAAAAAATACACATGTCGATGTTAAAAATTAAAAAAAAAATCGTTCATTTTTATTACTATTTCCACTTTTTATAAAATAGTAAGATGAGTTCATGTAATATTCACTTATTTGTGGAGACACCGTGAATTAAAAATTTGTGTTTCGTTTTTTTAAGCCTTCACAACTCTTTGGTTGTTGAAACTTCATTTTTTTAAATAAATTATATATATATATATATATATATATATAATATTGATGTCATATGAAAGATCGTAAAAATTTATTAATTTTGATGTATTTTTCAAAAATATTGGATCACAAACAAAAAGGTTAGTCTTATAAAAAGAGCGATTTTTTTATTTAGTGATGACGTCAGCATGACGTCACCCGCGTAACAGCCACACGCAGGCCCTTTTTTACGATTGTCTAAAACTCCTCTATTTTTGAACTCTCCCCCCCCTCTCCATTTTTAAACCTCATTTTACTACTCCAATGTAAGCAAATAGGAGTCCAAAAGCTCCACATTTTACGCTTTGGACTCCTGAAACCTTCCACTACAAATAGTCTTAGGGAAGAGGAGGATCGGAGGAGAGCATGGGTGGACAAAGTTTGTGAATAGAGGAAAAGAAGGGTTGACTGGTTGGCCCTTTAGTAGTGCTGTTGACATGTAATTAAATATCTCAAAAAAAAAACCACATAATTGGCCACCTCATTAACACCCATGATCACCTATTTCTAACTGGATAAAAAACATGGTTGAGTTTAGTTTAATAGTTGAAGGGTTTCATTGAGTATTATAGTACTACGTAGAAGAAAACCCTATTACTATCGGGTAATTCTATTTAGAGCCACTATTTTACTAAATAGTGCCATATATCCACAAAATGTCTAAATTACTCTTACAAAAACACCCATCATTGAAATGAGCCAAACTGGAACAGAAGAGTTTCATATGTTGTGCGAAGAAACCAGCCATATCAGACGCACCGACGACGATATTTCAGTACTGACGTAAACAGGGTAACAAAGCGTGCGAGTAGCAAACCTCTGGGATGGAAACAGAACCTTTCATATCGACGAAAGGGGATTAATTGCAAGGTCTTAAGATGTGCCCATGCCCATCACTCGTTACGGCAGGAATAGAAAAGCAATTGATCTTTAATTTTAACTATAAAGAGAATTTAGAAAAAAAAAACAATAGATCATTGAGAACACTTTTTTTCGACTGGGTTTGGAAATCTTTCTGATTCCCTGTGCAAGATTCCAAATCCAAGAACCCTATGGAAAATAGATAGGCATACCAGTTGTAGTGGTATGCGTCTCCAACCTGTTTGAACAATTGATTCAACTTAAACATATATGACTAATTCGTCTTCAATTGTACTGTGGGAAAAACCTCCTTGAAGTGGCTGATTATACAATGTAGAAAAAAAAACAGAGGAATGGAGATAAGGGTATAGTTGGATTTATAAAATAATTTTAATTGTATTTAGTAAAATGGTGGTTGTGATTAGAATTATTAGTTACCAGTGCTATTTTTATCTCTGTTCTAAAAAACGTTCTAGGGGCCCGACTAGTCCCCGCCTAGGCGCTAGGCGGTGGTCCGGCGCCCCAATTTTCATCTAGGCGCTCCGACTAATTGGTTTACCGTCTAGGTGAATTAGTCGGCCGCCTATGGCGCCTAGTTGCCTGTCTAGAGCGCCTAATCGGCCGCCTAGGCCGTCTAGATTTTGCCGAACTTTACTTCACTTTTCAATTTTAATTTTCTAAGCAAAATATTTACTTTAACTTTAGCAATGGATAAAAAGAAATGAAGTTGTAAATAAATTAAGATAAAACTATATATGATTGTATATATACCTAAATTTTATCATTACTTATAATTATAATATAATAAAGTTAAGTAATTAGTTATCATATACTACGTATGATTAAATGTGATAATTCTATCATTCATGATTATTAATGTATATGTATATATGTATGTTATACAAACAAAAATACAATATTACTTATCATATTTATGCAAAAATATGAATAAAAATGCAATTTCTATGTCTCCGACTAGTCCCCGATAGAGGTGGACTCGGGCCGGGCGGCCGGCCCGGAACCGGACCGGCCAGGCCTGGTACCCGGGCTTGGAGCCGGTTCGGGCCAACCAGAACCGCTCAGTTCCCGGTGCGGGCTCGGGCCCCCTAAAACGCGAACCGGCCCGGCCGGTCCGGGCCCGGTTCGGCCCTGTTTTTTTTTCAATTTTTTTTTATTCTACCGGGTTGGGTTGGGTGTTTTGGGGGGGTTTGGGGGGGTGGGGGTTGAAGGGGGGGTCGGGGTTTGATTACAAAAGCAAAATAAATAAATAAATAAAAGTCCGAACCGGAACTGGCCCGGTTTGGGCCCGGCCCGGAACCACCGGCTTCCCGGACCGGTTCCGGTTCCACCTTTCCCAAATAAAAGCCCGGCCGGGCCCAGGCCCGAACCGGAACCGCCCCGACCCGGGTCCACCCCTAGTCCCTGACTAATTACTTAACTTCATTATATTATAAAGGAAAAACTATCAAATAAGCCCCCGTACTATACCGAAAAAGTCGATTAGGCCCTCGTACTTTACAAACACTCAATTAAGTCCCCGAACTATTAAAAAATGTTCAATTAAGCCCTTTCAGTCGGTAAGTAACCGGTTTCCCGGTTAAATGTAACCCGTTTCCCGGAAACCGCCGTTGCTGGGGTTCGAGCACATCGTCGCCGTCGTCGCCGTTTAACCGGGAAACCGGTTACTTACCGACCAAAAGGGCTTAATTGAACGTTTTTTAATAGTTCGAGGACTTAATTGAGTATTTGTAAAGTACGAGGGCCTAATCGACTTTTTCGGCATAGTACGGGGGCTTATTTGATAGTTTTCCCTATTATAAATATAAGTAATGATAAAATTTAGGTATATATACAATGAGAACTCTTCCGGCAAAGTATACCTTACCGTAGCCGCCGTGCGGCCTCCACGTTTTGAGGGCCTTCCGGTTGGAATTTTTCGATGAAATTTTTTGAACATGTTCTTCATCAAGTCTAGTACATTCATACCAAATTGCAGCAAAAAATTCAATCGGGAAGGGAGTAGGGAGTGAAATGATTTTTGGATAACTGCACCCTTTATACTCCATAGTTTTTATATATAGCGCCCAAATTAGCGTAATTCCCGAGACTGTTGATTTACGGCCCATCTATTCTGCTATGGATACGACGAAGTGCCGATGAAACACGATGACCTGCGGCCTGTCCCTGCGTCGTGCTACACTACTGCGTGACTCCGTGCGGCCGTGCCTGCCGCCCTGCTGCCTGCGTTTCCAGAAATTCGACCGGCGAAGTGTCCGACCTGTCAGTCTTTCTCTAGTTCTCCGTGAATCTCAAATTTTATAAATACATGAAGTCTAAAATTCTGAAGACTAAAGATAAAGGATTATACGGCGTAAATGAATTATTATTAGTATTACATGGCATGGTAGTCTGTAGGCCTGTGGCAGATTGGAGATTAGCTAAAGCCTAAAGGATAAGAATAATTGACTATTAGTAGAATAGTAGTATATGGAGTTGAATTATTTAATTTATTTTCTTTTACTTACTTCAATTTTTCGCCAATTGATCCCGACACTATGGCAAATTGGCAGACAAGTAATAGAAGCATTTTTTTTGTTTTTACTTTTTTAGGTGAGCTCCGAGTTACTATTGTGGGTAGTATCAATTATGTTATATGTATGGTGTATTGGGTATTTGAGAATTGGAATTGGGTATTAGTGTATTATAGACTTACAATATTTGGATGAATAAGATATATCATGCGGCTTAACTATGTTATCGATTGAAAAAAGTGTTAGCTAGTATTGAAAAAAGTGTTAGCTAGTCTTGATATCGGCTTAATATCTGCTTTTCTCATGTCAAAGGGCCCACCATTGCTTTGAAAGATCGTCCTCCCCAATGAAAACCCATTGCTCTCTATTGGTGTGTCTGTTATCTCTATGTGAGCAGACCAGATGGAATTTCAGTTCCCTCAATCTTGATTGATTATACCTTAGGAAAATGACTGTCTTGCCAAAGGTTCTACTCTACTCAACTCTAGCATGGGCACCTACACCTCGGTATAAGAAAAATGGAAGCACCAATCCTGCCATCATTGCAAGATCAACTCCAACCAAGATTGAAGCTAGTAAGAGACGGTAAAGTTTCTCTCAGCAATTTTTTCAAACAATTGATGGGTCTGTTATTTTTTAGTTGTTTCTGTTCCTTCTTCTTTGCTTAACTTTCTTAAAAAATCTTAGTTGTGTGTGCTATGATATGCATAAAGAGCTTGTACTCTACGCTGAGGCATGGTCTCTACAGAAGTCCATTGTCAAGGAGCGAAAAGCATTGGTCCAAAGAAATGAAGATTTTTCAGACAGCCTAATTGTCCTGCAACACCATCCGGTATATACTTTGGGAACTGGGAGTTCAGAAGAATACTTACATTTTGATCAAAAGAATGCTCCTTTTGCTGTGTACCGAACTGAGCGTGGAGGTGAGGTTACCTATCACGGCCCTGGTCAGGTACCTTATCCCCCCACCCCCACCACAGTTTAAACTTGTACTTGTGTGCCATTTATTTTGGTTTCCTTGATAAATTAGATGTACATGATTTATATTAAGCATATAACTTATCATTTATTTTTGTTTTTATTTCAAATCAAAATAATTAAAAAAAAGTAGATTTATTTAATTGAAATCTTTGAGCCCACAGTTCTTTCAAAATTTCACTTAAAAATTTCCCTTAATTTATGAATCAACTAATCCAAAAAAAAAACTAACTTAAAAAGCCTTACTTTTTACTTCAGTAATGTGGTAGTATAGGGACTTTTTGAAATGCCTTACTTTTCTTGGTCAAGCAGCTAATATGGGTTGAAAAAGCTAACTACTCTTCTATTCTATTAAAAAGATATCCCCAAACATGGGCTTTGTTCTTTACACTTACTGACCTAGCCAAGGCATTAGACGATTTGGATCCCAGTTTGACTTATATTTTCCCATGAAATGCGTATATATTGTGATGGGTATATATTGTCTGGTTGTTATTGTATGCAGATAGTGATGTACCCTATAATGAACCTCCGTTATCAAAAGATGGACCTTCATTGGTACCTGAGGGCACTAGAAGAGGTGGTAATCCGAGCTCTGGCTTCATCTTTTTCCATTAAAGCTTCACGAATTGATGGCTTGACTGGTGTTTGGCTTGGTAATGGTGTCCTCCAAAATCTTATAATATACTCCCTATGTCTATAAACAATCCACAGCATTCTTGGTTTGTTCCAAAACTATCTCTCAATTCCCTCCAAAGAAAGCAATATGAGGTTTATTTTTTTCTCAATAAATTTCAACTGCAATTTTCATTTCCTTAATCTTCATGTCTTGTCTGTTTGGATTTATTTAGGGACGTAGGGGAGTATGTAGTATGCAGGGGAATATGTAGTATGCTAGTCTGAGGTATGTGGATTGATTACGGAACTTCTTATCTCAGGAGATGAGAAAGTAGCTGCGATTGGTGTTAAGGTCTCTCAGTGGATCACATACCATGGGTTAGCACTTAATGTCAGCACAGATTTAGCTGCTTTTCAGCAGATTGTGCCTTGTGGGATCAAAGGTCGTCAAGTTGGAAGCATAAAGGAGCTTCTTCGTCCTCCTAATTCTGGGGCTTCTTCTCCGTCATGCTATAACACTGTATATGATGATTCTGGACTTATGGATATTGCTTACACTTCACTTGTTCAAGAATTCTGTGAACTGTTCCAGGTTGACCTTTACTATAAATAATATATTCACTCCATCCCAAATTTAAGATGCCATAACCATCCATGGAGTTAACTCAGCTCTTTTTTAATCTATGATTTAATATACTCTGTAATACTTTTCGTCATATTCATATTTAGTCGTAGCAGTTCAATAAAGCTTTTAGTGTTCTTTAGATGCATATGAAGTATATAATTGATACAAACATTGGTTGATACGAATTTTGCTGCATTTTGGAAATTACATTTTAATTTCAAAATACTTATTTCCAATCTATACGAGCAACCGCAACTCTCCCTTTCTAGTGTAGGTTAAGTGTGCCATGTCATTAAAATTAGACATTGTCTTTGTATGTAACCCTCCAATCCTTGTAGTCTTTTGCTGACATGGCAAAAAAAACTAAACACTGTGAAGGCCAACATTTGAGCGTAGAAAGTCGTCCAAACTTACTGACTCGACAAAAAATAGGCGCGGCTTCACCACAAAATTAGAGGGAAATCGAAAAGTCAAGAGCTATCTTGAATTCTCCTTGCCGAACTGCCACAAATCGTTCTCTCTGGTTTTTCTATCATAGAAGAAGCTCTGGGATTTCGCAAAAACATTTATTTTGATATGTCAATAATTAGTTTTTAACCTTAAAGTTGCAGGAAAACCTAGCTGATTCATAGTAATTGTGTTTACGTTTGCCGATTCATACTAATTGTGTTTATGTTTGCCAGATTCATAGTGATTGTGTTTATATTTTTTCGGATTCATACTGTTTTTTGGAAAAACCAAGTCAAATTTTCAAGCTCCCTCAAATATTCCTCTGCGATTTTACTAATTTCCGAGCTCCCTCTAAAGCCAGGTCAATTGTGTTTGTGTTTGATTCCAAACGTAACTTTGATAATGTAAGTTCAATTGATATCATGGTGTGACTTTTAACAATCCTTGTAGGTGCCGGTTGATAATCTGAATGTGATATGAGAAGTAAATTACTGTACTTTTTATCATTTTGAAATGGAATAGCTCCTGTTCCACTAATTAGCTTATATGAGAATCTGAGTTTATTAGATAATTAGCTGAACAATTTCTTGTCACTAAATAATATTTTTGTGATTCTACTTAAATATAAAAACATTGAGTACTTATTAAGACATTAAGATAAATTAGATACCATCTGCGTTGTGGAAGAGTATTAGAACTTCTCATTATTCTACAGTGACCCTCTTTACTGTGGTGGCCTGGAGCAACAGTTTGCCTTAACTCTAGAGCTGCCCCTAACAGAGTAACATCACAACTAAAGATTATAATGTTTTACACTTAATCTGGACAGTGCAAAAGCTTGAACAACAGCATTATGAAAAGTATGACTTGTGAGATAATACTTATCAGTTTATTGGGTGAAGCATTTCTTGAGACAATATGATTTCTTTAAATACAATTAGACTATACTTCTGTTTGTACTTGATGTATGTTGCAAAATACTCCTCTATTCTAATGAATCATATGTTTAATAGATCAATTACAGCATTAACACCAATTATTTTCAGGCCATGTTGTCATTAGCCTGACAATTTGAATAAGAGGTTGTAACTTCCGGGGAAGACAAAACCAGAAAGATTCTTATGGCTTATCTAATAAAGGGAAACTGTAGAGTATATGATAGAGTTAATAGTTTAGGCTTTTGCATAGAGATCCTGAAAAATAAACATTTAAGTTCTGGTTGATAGCAGCATGTGGCTTATTCCATTATTGACGCCAAAAGCAAAAATTAGGTACAATTGTAGCTCTCACCTTGCTTTGTCTGTAATGGATGATACCAAATCCTTTTTCCTCTAAAAATCAGCAGATTCACTCATTTCACCCAATCACCCATATAACACTTACCTAATTGGCCCTTAAAAAGATCATTATACTTTGATGGAGTGATAAGCAATTAAGCATGTGGGAACTAATAATAATGTAACGTACCTATTTTCAAAACTACAAACAGCCATTTCAGTTATTTCACGTATATAATAGTTGAGTATATTCATTTATACGTATATATAATTGCGAATTCGGTTTTATGCGTGTGTAATAATTCAGTGTGAAATATTATTGTTGCTGATTCATATGTATAAAAAAGCTTAATAAAGTCGGTCATAGTACCAGTTCTTCAACGAAAAACATTCCATTTGATTAACTTATTAACAACATAAATTACTTGTCGATCAGTTTCCGTTGAAATCTAACTAATGCATAGGGACAATAATATTTTATTAATTAAATAAAAGACACGTGTATAATTGACTTGGGCCATAGACTTTATGCATTGGAGGAATTTTCAATAACTCAAAGCCCCGCTACCGCTAGTACACTTTGTATGATCATCATCATCATTACCTCAGGGCCGCAAAGGCTCCCACCTACGGTGGGGTAAGAGGGGTCGGATGTACATAGGAGTGAACTCGGGCCGGGCGGCCTGGCCCGGTACTGTTTGGGCCCGGCCCGGTACCCGGTCTTGGAGCCGGTTCGGGCCAACCGGAATCGGTCAATTCCTGGTACGGGCTCGGGCCTTGAAAATGGTGAACCAGCATGCCCGGTTCGGGCCTAGTTTGGGCCAAATTTATTTATTTTTTTGTTTTTTCATTTTTTTTTGTTTCTACCGGGTAGGGCTGGGTGTTTGGGGGGGGGGGGGGGGTAATTTAGAAAAACATAAGAAAAAAATAATAACTTGAACCGGAAACCGGCCCGGCCCGGAACCGCCAGGTCCATCCATAGATGTACGCAGTTTTACCCCTGTACTATTTTCACAGAGACTGTCCAAATGACCCATAGTGAAAATCGCGTCGAAAATTGCATAGACTGACTGTTACTTCATGACAACGAAATGCATATAGTCTAGTGAGCCATTTTTCTTTATTCAATCATATTCTCAAGCCAAAAATGGTGAGTCTTTGACTCCATTGAAAGTGCAGACAATTTATGACGTATACTAGAAATTCTTTTAATTAATTGAAGTTTGGCACATTTCACACACTAAAAAGTTTTCAATTGGGGTTGCTTTAAGTGTCAAACTCTCAACGGCTTTTGCTTGGATATTAGAAACAGATGGAAACAACTGATTTGCATATCTAAAATTTAAAATGCAGGATAACTTTTAACAGTAGAGGTGTTTGGGAGTTTACACCTCACAAAAGAGACTCCCAACTGATAAAAAAGATTGCTCTGATTAGAGATCAAATTGTCTTTCACTTTGACAACACCCATGATGCCATTAGTTTTCTCAATACTTGCCAAACAAATGGCAAGCTATCCTCGAGTTTGGTGTACAACCTTCTTAGAGTTAAGGGGGAACTCAAATGTGGATGTCTTTCATTTGGAAGAATTATATCCCCCCTAAGTTCTCCTTCACGGTTTGGTTAGCCTTTCGTAACCGCCTTGCCACTCTTGATAACTTGCATAGATTAGATGTCGTTAATGTTTGCCCCCTTTGTAAGGGTGGTCCGGAAACGGTACCACACCTATTTTTTACTTGTGCTTTTTCAGGTAAAGTTTGGCATAGAGTCAGGACGTGGCTGGACATTCCTAGGGAGATGGGGACCATGCAGAGCTCGTTGAAATGGATCAAGAGGAAGAGACAAGGCTCGGGGATCAAAGTTAAGGCGGCTAGGATTGCTTTTTGCTACTCCATCTACTGGATCTGGAGAACCCGGAATGCTACATGCTTTGATGGCCTTGTTCCCAAAGAAGAAGACGTTTTTGCGAGGATTCAATACATTGTTTACAAGATTTTGTATAGTCTTTATCCACATGAACTTGAAAAGTTGTGACTTGTTGTGCCTAACCATCTCTTTGTTTGGTTTGGGCGTTTCTTGTGGCTGTTTTTTGGGCTTGTTTGTGCTTCACCCCCGCTTGGTTTTGGTGTGGGGTGTTGCTTGTTTTGAGCTCTTTTGCTGGGTTTGGGTTATCCATTTTGGATAACCTGCAGTTTTGTTTCCCTTTTTGTTTGTACATTCTGAACCTCTGTTTTTTTGGGTGGTTCTTTTAATATACTTACAGTTCATCCAAAAAAAAACAGAAGGGTAAATTTCAAAAATGGCAAAGTTAAGTAACTGGAAAAAACGGTTGAAGGTGGTCATGGTCCTGTGGTATCTTATCACTACCAATGCCTTTAAATGGACTATGGTATAAAACCATCAACCATTGCTTCATACTTCGTAATAGATGGGAGAAAAGTTACATTTTTAAATAACTAAACTCAGCACGGTTCTAATTGAGCATGACATTCTTAAACTTCAGCCACTTTAAGCTCTTCAACTCTGTCCAGTTTGTCAAAATGTACTACCAAAAAAGATACACAACAATCCTTTTACTGTGAAAATGTACTAAAAAAGGGAGATAGATCAGCAAAGTGTTAATAGTTCTCATCTACTGGGCTAGAAGGAAAGAGCGTTACAAGAAAGGACAACAACGACCAGAGGCAAGCCAAACCTAACGCTTGGAATGTTACAATCAAGGAAACAAATGCTCCATTTCTCTGAAGAGTATCCGGTGTCATAGGAAGTTTTCTAGTTGCAAACATTAATCTCTGAACAAATCCAATAGCTCGGGTCAACTGGTAGAACCTATACACCTGGATACCACAAGAATTCCTTTAGGATTCCATTTGAACACCGGAAATACTACTGAAAAAGATAGGCTCAAACTTCAATTAATAATTTTTCAACGATACTTCGTGTATTTATTTCAGGATATAAAGACTAAGAAATCTTAATATATGTAAAATTTAAAAAGATTCATAGTATTTCATTTTCCATTTTATGTTTTGAGGGAATGCCAAACATACACTTTTGTTCTCCTTTACTTTTAAAAGAAAGAAACTTTAAGATATAATAGTAGAAAAAACAATACCTCGAAAATAATTGGGACAAGAGGCCAACAAGAGGATTTCTTTTTCTGAAGTTGCTTCTCAAATGCGAGTTGAACAAGAAAGCCAAGCAAGAGAGGAGCCATTGCAACCAAGGCTACTGTATCAAGAGCTGGCCATGTGATATAAAGTACAAAAAGAGGAAGGAGTGTCTTGAAGCCCATTATAAGGTCTGCAGAAGTTGAGTAGCCTCGATGGCCGGTTATTAGACTCCACCTCTTTGTACTAAGCTCCATGTATGGCTTTTGAACATGCCCAGCCACAGAAAGATATACTCCCACTCCAATGTAGAAGATGACCTCTGTGATGGTTGAAGTTAAAATTTCTGCATCGACAAACATCAATAACATACTTAGTAGGAGAAGGTTTCACAATTGGTGAGTTTACAAATAAAAAGATTACACAAATAAAAAGCAATCTTTTTTTAAATAAAGAAACAGCTGAATTGCATCAGCTGAGAAAGATTGGTCTGACTTTTCTAATTCCATGCTAACCACGAAACAAAATGATAGTATCAGTTTCGAATGGAGACTAGTCATACTACCTGAGAGAACATCATTCTGGAGACCATCAATGAAAATATCAACAAGAAACCGGGGAAAAACAAAAGAAGATATTAATGCCAGAGGAGCAATAATCCATCGAAAAGATCCAATTTCTCTCTCAGAAGGAGCCAACTCTGATTTATTTTCTTCAACCAATTGGTGAGTCAGCCCAACAAAAGAAACAGAACCTGGTTTCCCCTGAAGTGGTTTCAACCTGCTAATGCCATTATCAAAAACATTGCTGTCCCCGCTTCCGGAAGATCTCAACTTTTGCTTAGAAGAGGAGCCTGACCTAGACATGGGAACAATTGCCCCATTCTTCAGCCAGGAATTCACTGCAAATGAAATGAATAAAACATAAAAATCCCGAAGACAAAAAATGGCATTTATTATGCATCAAACAGGCAGAAAATTCAAGGGAACGTGCATTTCAACTCAGGGAGAAGGAGAGCCTGCTTCCTCGATGTCAAATTGCTCTTAGAGTGTGAGTATTCCCCAAATGAAAATGAAGGAGAAGCCGGCAAAACAGTGACGAACAAGTTAGATAGCACAGAAAAGGAAAAGGAAAAAGAATTGATAAATTAGAGTAGAGACGCTAACGATCTGATGCCGGAAAGCAGAAAAGTTGGGGACAGAGAGTCGATTGGGGCGCAAAGAGCGGGGACATTGCAGCTCCATTCGCGGGCTTCTTTGCGGGGATTAGCGGTACGTAGGGTTGTAAATGAATCAAATAATTTGTGCTCGATTCGTGATTCGAATTCGTATAAGACGATTCGAGTTCGGAAAATTCACATACAAATACAAATATGAATATTAAATTTGATTCGATTTGTTATCAAATACAAATAAGAATATCAGTGTATTCGATTCGAATATTAATCAAATATATTCGATTAATAATAGTGATAATAATAATATAATAATAATAGTAATAACACTATAATAACTTTTAAAAGATAGCAATACCCTAAAGTGTAGTTCATATATACATTTACGCATACAAATTCTAAGTCCATTTGTAATAAATCAGAGTATAAATACGAATACAAATCGGAGTTTTGGTTCAAATGTCTTTCAAATACAATACAAATAATTATGTATTCGATTCACAGAATAAAATTAGAGTCGTCTGACTTTGATATATACAATTATCAACTTATTTCACACATTATAAGTGTAATTTCTAATATGTATATGTTAGTGTTTATTTCAAAAAGTTTGAAATAGATTCATATTTATTAATCATAAAATTGATTCACTTTAGTATATCGTGCACAATCTAAAAATGCATTGATCCATTGAATTTAAATTCTAAAAACACATATCAAATCATAGCGTACATTTACAACATAAAAAAATATAAGAAAATTTAATTTTAAGTGATATTTGACTAATATTTAACCTATGCTCAAATCTATTCGATATTCGTATAAGATTCGTTAACTATTCGTATTGTTAAACAAATACAAATACAAATCGAAATTAATATTCGTTTCATATTCGAAAAAATTAAACAAATACAAATACAAAATCCTACTATTCGACTCGATTCGGTTCGTATACAACCCTAGCGGTACGTCGTCTTACGCTTAAACCCTACCCGCTCCCATTCAGAAGGTTTAACGAATTAACGGTGCATATCTCCTCCATTTGAATTTGTGTCAATCTTTCTATCTTTGTCAATTTGTCATTATACTCCGAAAAGATATTTGTACCAGACGTTTAACAGATGAGATTAGATCAAATCAGACTAGCAAATTTCAGTCCAAAAGAAAACATCTTTGTGTCAATCTTTCTAAGATGTTTTTATTTGAACTGTTTTTCAGTTTCAGTAGTTATAAAATACACAAAGACCAGACATTTATCAGACCAGACCAGTTCAGGCCACACTAGACCAGACTTCAACAAACCATTAAATTATAATCTAAGTAAAAACATCCTTATACGGAGTACGGAGTCTTACATTTATTATCATATTCGATTTTTACAATGTAATTGTAAATTTAGTAGTCTTAAATTTTGATTATTGTTAATCTAATATTACTTCCTTCATTCTGCTAATATTGTCCCAATTCCTATTGACTTAGTCAACACAAATCACTCTTATTCACTCTTTTTTTTTTTACTCCAGCGGGGCTGGGGGGGCTGGAGTACTGCGCTGAAACTCACTCCATTGAGTTTCGAACCCTTATGTGCCTAGCGACTTTCGAACTCGAGACCTCCCACTAGGCACGGTAACCTCACAACCAGCTGGGCTGAAACGCTTGGTACTCTTATTCTCTTACTTTATATATCAAATTTTTATCAAATTTGATTTTGTTTTTTGCGAATTTGTAAAGTTTTTAATGTAGTTTCTAAATATGTAATTTTTTTCTATAAATAATTTGAGTGCGGACAAGGATCCATTTGCTTTAGAGAAAATTACCAATATGGGAGTACAACATAGAACCTATTCCAAAATAGGAGTCCTACTTGGTCAACCACGTTTGACACGGAAATTATATGCAAGTGACCATAATGCCCTTAATGAAGCTAAAGGTATTACCGTTTTGGAATCACGCGTGCTGCGGACGTGCTGAGCAGGTGGAAGTAACCGGCTACACAGGTAAAGCAAGATTTTTAAAAAACAAAAACGGGAAGCCGGCAAAACATCTCCCATTCGCGTAAAATAACAACTGCCTCCATTAAAGCGCGAACCTGGAGAACACAACCAACCGCGCACAACACTCGAGAGAAACTGACAACACTTGGCCATAGAGAGAACGAAGTGACGATTACAGAGTAAAACTTGGCCAGAAGGACGATATTTGCCTGAAGAAGGACAAACTTCGCGATAAGAACAGCAGATATCATGGCTGATTCGGATTTTCAATCACATGGCCAAAAAGTCAGAATCAACAACGAAGTGGTATGTTGTACTCTCTATAGAAGAAATATAAGTGTTAAAGCGATGTTGACCATGTCCATTTATGAATTTTGTAATGTTTAAATCATCATTGACAATAGAAAGTGCAAATGTAATGAAAGTTGTGTGCGTGTCGTGCTATGTATTGTGTAGGTGTTGTAAAGTTGTCTGTAATGTTTATATTCTATGTGTAATAAGTGTATTAATGTCACTGATTTGAGAGAGTTATTGTCAATTCACTTTGTAATACTTAAATCATGTTTTATAGTATTTAAATTAGGGCAAAAGTTGCCAATGTTAATGTTGCCAAAGTATGAATAATAATATATTCTATGAGTATGGGTGAATTATGAAAATATGGCAAATATTATGTGTACAAGGTGTGTCATGACATAGTCAATGTGTTGAATAAGAAGTATTATGGCAAATTAACTGTAATGTGGCAAAAACTGACAAATGTTAGGTGTACAAAGTGTGTCATTACAGACTCAATGACTTGAAGAACAAGAAGTCTGTCAAATTAACTATACTATGGAAAAATTTGACAATTATTAGGGTTGAAAGATGTGTCATCACAAAGTCAGTGACTTGAAGAAGAATTATTGTGTCAAACTACCTGAATTTTGAAATCATTGCCAAATATAGAATTGAAAGATGTGTCATGACAGAGTCAATGTGTTGAATAAGAAGTATTATGGCAAACTAACTGTAATGTGGAAAAATTTGACAATTATTAGGGTTGAAAGATGTGTCATCACAAAGTCAGTGACTTGAAGAAGAATTATTGTGTCAAACTGCCTGTATTTTGAAATCATTGCCAAATATAGAATTGGAAGATGTGTCATGACATAGTCAATGTGTTGAATAAGAAGTATTATGGCAAATTAACTGTAATGTGGCAAAAACTGACAAATGTTAGGTGTACAAAGTGTGTCATTACAGACTCAATGACTTGAAGAACAAGAAGTCTGTCAAATTAACTATACTATGGAAAAATTTGACAATTATTAGGGTTGAAAGATGTGTCATCACAAAGTCAGTGACTTGAAGAAGAATTATTGTGTCAAACTACCTGTATTTTGAAATCATTGCCAAATATAGAATTGAAAGATGTGTCATGACATAGTCAATGTGTTGAATAAGAAGTATTATGGCAAACTAACTGTAATGTGGCAAAAACTGACAAATGTTAGAGTTGTAGAATGTTTACTGAAAAAAACTGTTATCAAATGTTTACTGAAAAATAAAAGTTATTGAGTACCTCAATGATTTCTAATATTGCTATGTTTTAGACTATCTCAATCATGCAAAAGTTCCAAATATTAGTGTTTCAAATGTGTAATTAGGCAATGTTTTACAATAACCATGTGTAAGCTAAGAGTGCCAAATGTTCAAATTGTGATTTTGTTTTGAATGAATGGAAATACTTAATAGTAATAAAATTTGTTTAAATACAGACTATCAGTCGCACTTGTGAAACTGGACTGCTTAGAAGTTTGGACAAGTTGAGGCTAAATGCCAATAGCAATCTAAGTGAAGTAGCAAAAAAAATAAAAGGGCAACTGAGTGAAGAGGAATTAATAGCATTCAAAAACACAGTTTTTGGATGGATGCTTGACATTGAACAGATGCCAAGGTTGAGTGGGCAGTTGTGCATAGCACTTGCAGGGAGCTATATTGAGGAATTTAACAACATTGCTGAAACTAGTGTGATAAGGTTTCACATAGGAAGCAGTGTAATAAGTTTTACCAGATCAGATATGGCGTTGCTGCTAGGACTGAAGGTTGGTGGTGACAGAACGATAGGAAATGTTCAGTTATAAGGCGATATTCAGTTACAAGGAAATTTCTGTAAGTAACTGAATATCATTTCTGTAGGAAATGTAGAAGGCATTTTGGCAATAAGTAAGTAATTACAAGACAAGATGTGATAAGTGCTCTGGAGGCTTATAACCATGGTGATCCACACATAGAAAAGGAAGATGGTTTGAAGTTAGCACTGCTTTATGTGCTAGCACATGGTTTACTGGGACACCAAATGTCTAGACCATTACCAGCAAAGTACATAAAGTTAGTCCATGATATTGAAGCCTTCAACGTATATCCTTGGGGGGATGATGTGTGGGAGGACTTGGTTACAAACATCAATAGAAGTGCACAGGCACTGAATGTGTGTGGAGGAAATAGAGTTGCATTCCCAGGATGCATGCATGTACTTCAAATATGGGCTTTTGAAACATTCCCAATTTTAGCTAACAAAGGGCTGTGCAGCATTATTGAAGGCAGAGAAAATGTGATCCCAAGAACACTGAAATGGGCTTTCCAGAAAAAACCATCCATGGAAATCTTCTGTGACCTTATATTTGATAACGATGAGGTAATTGAAATTTATATGTTTTTAAATTTACATATCCTTAATAAATGAAGAAATTTGTAATGTAGAAATATTTGTGCTTTGTGTTTACAGTTTGAGTGGAAGAGCATAGTGCCAACTGCACAAGAGATGGAAAATATTCAAGGTGTTGCTGAAGCAAGGTTACTAGATGAAGAACTAGGATTACTGGAGGTGATTAAAGCAGATGGTAAAGAAAAGAGGAAGAATAAACAAGTGGCAGCAAAGGGAAAGGGCAAACTGAGAACAAAAGAAGTTCCAGTTAACACCAAAAAGGGTAAGTTTGCAAGCACAAAGGGGAAAACACAGAAAGACAAACCAGAGTGCAGCTCTAAAGCAACTAAAAGGAAAGCGTCAAAGGAAACTGATGAAGATGAGAGTGATGAGGAAAGTGAAGAAGAGATTTCCAAGAGGGGAGTGAAGAAAATGATGCTAAGGAG